AGTCTGCCAGGCCATTGTGGAGGAATACAAGGATGTGGTCATCGCATTGGCACCTACTGGAGAGGTCTTCAGAAACAGGTGGAATGTTCCTCATGCTGTGGGAGCTCTGGATGGCAAGCATGTGGCCATCAGGTAACCTGGCAAGAGCGCCTCCTTGTACCACATCCTGGTTACCGTTATCCTGCTCTCCACAAACGGTATGGTGGATGAGGAAGATGACAAGCTCAACGTGGTGCCAGGAGCCTGGAGACAATTTGCGCAGCTTGAAGATGTGCAGCGTGTTGCAGGGGGAAACATAGGCATCTAGGCTGGAAATAGGCAGCGGGAGATCCCCAAGCATTACTTCAACAACCCAGTAGGAACCATGCCATGGCAGAACAGCACGATTGATGGATAAGAGACAGAAAGGATGATGACATATGCCATATGCACACGGGATTTGTTGTTTTGCCAATAATCTTATCATTAATAAAAGTAGTAATTGCTTTTTGTTTCTTATTTAGTTATGACACAGTAATTTCGGTGTGTTATTATTATGACATATTCAGCTTTAAAAGGGAGAGAAATAAAATAAATGTTACAATACTTGTTTACCAATTAAGTTCCAGGGTCATTACATTTTTCATAAGCTATGTTAACTGTATTTCTAAAACATATTACAGTTTCAATTCAATTCAATTGAATTCAATTCAATTGAATTCAACAATTCAATTGAATTCAGACTGACGTTCCAGCGGCAGCTGGTCGCGTTTTCATGCGATTCAGCGGTTTTCTGAATTACGTCCGTAGTCATTCGAGGGCCAATCGGGACGTTCCAACTGCATTCGAGCGGCAATCGAAAGATTCTAACGGCATTCGAAGTGCATTCCAGCTGAATGCTTTTAATATCGAAATAGATTCCGTCAGCAATCGAGATGCATTCGAGGCGCATTCCGGCTCATTCGAGGCGCATTCCGGCTCATTCGAGACGCATTCCGGCTCATTCGAGGCGCATTCCGGCTCATTCGAGACGCATTCGGGACATTCTGGCAGGATTTGAAGTGGCTTGGCGTTTCGATTCTCCCTCGAATGCGATCAGAATGTTTTGAATGCTGTTGGAATGCCGTAAGAATATTTAGAATGCCGTCAGAGTACAGTTAGAATACTTCGAATGCCGTTCGATATTTCTCTACTTCGAATGCACCTCGAATGTTTTGAGCATGAGCAAAACATATCGGCCGGCCACAAGAATGGGCCGAATATTTGGAATACACTCAGAATACAGTCAGAAGTTTTAGAATTTTCATTCCGACGGCATTCCGGCTCATTCCGCCTCTAGCGTGGATAGGGTTTTACAGTAAATTAAGAAGTTGTTATCCATAAATTGTGTTTACATTGTCATCCGTCAATTTCTAAGTAAAGCCTCTCAAACAATTTATCAGAAAGTTAAGTTTGGTACAGGGCACTTTACGCGGTGACAAATACATACATGTTGCCTTTTGAAAGGTTTAACATGCCTGATAGTCCAAATACGTTCATAACACATTATGTTATGTAAGTGATATGCGCTGTTTAGTACATATTATGTACTACCGAATATGCCTGACATTTCAAAGAGCAAGATAAATCACACGTTAGCCATGTAATGTTCCAAAATGCAGGTTATTATTAGGACGTTACTGACATCTAATAGGATTTTCCTTACAGTCTCACTTAACAAATATTAAATATAAGACCATAGATCCGTTTATTACGTACTTATTATACACTATAATATTACCTATGTATTAATAGGAGGTATTACATCAAATGATCACACAAAGTTCTTGACATTGCCTGTGTTCGTTTGCACTGAGCCTGCGCTTAAAGTACTTAGAAGTACACATGTGGTTATCAGTAATAATAAATCGTTGTTTGCAAACCTTTCTGCAAGTATTGATAGAGTTTACCGCGAAGTATACTCTCCAAGAAACGAAACGCACAGCTAGATTTGTGTGAGGAAGGAAAATACTTTAAAAAGAGGAACCGTACAAGGTATTGATCCAAAATGTTGTGGAGAGAACACTTGGTGATTGTAGCCATGTCAGTTATCGGTACATAGGAAAAGTCCAAGGTGAAGGTCAGCTACCATCAATAACGCGTATGTCCCCCTTTGGAATCGACAGCGGCCTGATATCTCCTGCCCATGGAAGAGACGAGTATGCGAATCACATCCTGGGGACTTGTAGCCCACTCGGCCTGCAACGCAAAAGCCAACTGCTGCAACGTCTGGGGTTGTGGTTGACGTCGGCGTATCCGTCTATTCAATTCATCCCACAGGTGCTCTATCGGGTTCAAATCCGGAGAGGGCCAGGGGAGACCATCAACGTTGTTGTGTAGACAGGCTCTTGTGATCCGTGCTGTATGCGGTATTCAAGACGGCGAATGATTGCTTTCTTTATCACCAAATTAACTGTGCAAATGTCTGTATGATTGGGTATGCGACGCCAATGCGGTCGGTTGCTTTGTGGAGGGTGGTTAGACGTTAATGAAGACTTGGGTTCCGCTGTAGTCAGGTTCTGTGACTTGGTTGATGCATTTCACCATATTCCAATTGCGTAGATCGATGCTCATGACGTCAACCACTGGATTGGTGGGTAAAGATTCGATTATTTACAGACATAGCTGGAATACACGCTTAAAAAAAAAAGTGCACACGTAGATTTTTAGTAACTTTATTGTACCTAATAAAGTCGACATGTTTAATATTTATATAATATCATAGATATAAATATGAAATTTTGGAGATCGATAGTCACATGTTGTCATTGTACAAAGGCATTGAAAACTGTTCATTGTCATGTCACATAAGGCGTCAAGGTTCCGTTGAACTCAGTATCTCGTGTGTCCGCCCCGGGCAGCAATCACGGCTTTGCATCCCCGCGGCACTAACTGGATAAGTGTACGAATTCTGTCCTGTGGAATTCTGCGCCATTCCGCTTGTAACGCGTTGGCCAGTTATGGGAGTGTCTGCGGCGTGTTCTGGCGTTGAGGTACACGTCAATCGAGTTCATCCCAGAGGTGTGTCATTCTGGGGATCTCGACGACCAGGGCAAGGCGTTGATGTTGGCATTATGAAGGTAGTCTACCGTGACACGAGCTGTGTGCGGTGGAGCGTTGTCCTGTTGAAACAGTTCCCTCTGGCGGTCAATGATTGGGAGAAGGTGAGGTTGAAGAATTTGATCCATGTAGAGATTTGCTGTCAAATTTCTCTGAACCACAACCAAGTCAGATCACGTGGTGTACGATACACCATGGCACTACCGCCGCTGCATTTGTCGAATTCACGTACACAACTCATTTCTACAATGATAAACACGTTGTCTTCCATCTCGCCGGTGAAGAAGAAATCGTGATTCATCGCTAAACCACACTCGTCTCCAGTTTCCCAAATTCCAAGGCTGTAAGGTATGGCACCAACGCAAGCGTCACTGTCGATGGATCTGTTGCAAAAAGGGACGATAACTGGTCGTCTTGGTTGGATTCCAGCCTCGCGAAGATGGTTCTAGACAGTCTGGTCCGCTATCCTTCTCAAACCAGGGATGCGTCCTGCAGTCCCCGTAGCTGTGGCATTGCGATGACGTAGGTGGAACAGTCGAATGTAGCGATCCTGTGCAAGGTTGGTAACTCTTGGTCGGCCGGTTCTCGGACGGTCTGCGGTGGAATTGAACTGTGTGTATAGGTCCCAAAGGCGGCAAATGTTGCCGTGGTGGACGTTGAAGTGACGTGCAAAAGAAGACTGCGATTCCCCTCTTTGGATACTTCCTGTGGCGATGTTCCGATCGACAGCGCTGAGTCGCGGCATTTTCGAACTTGAAATATGTTGACAAATGTCAAATTATTAGTTTATGCTTGCCTTTTTATAGCCACTACCACGATTTAGGAATGCCATAATTTGAACGTGCTTTTGCTTTACTGTTTTCCTCCATGACATTTTAGAACAAGTGTGAAAACAACGCCATTTAAGACATTTCAAATCGACAATGGCTGCGTTTTGACGCATTGTTTGTCGAATATCAGGCCACCAACATCTTCCAAAAAAGTATATCCAATGTATATACTGGATTTTTGGTGTAGTCGGGTTCAATGAACTACCAACTGCCTATGTGTTTCCTTTTTGTGAAGAGTGTTATGGTGATTTTGGCGTTAAACAACAAACAAACAAAATAAACAAGGGTGCATGAGAGAGTGAATGAGTATGGTTTTACGCCGCTCTATTATTATTATTCTAGGGGACACCAAAAAGGGGCTTCACGCATTGTACTCATATGGGGATTCGAACCAGGGTCTTCGGCGTTACGAGCGAGCGCTTTAACCACTAACCGTAAAATCCTGTTCCTCCTTTGACTGAAAACAGTTCAACAGTATGTGTGTGTATGCGTGCGTGCGAGCTTGCATAATACTCTTTGGCCATCCTTTTTATAAAAAAGCAAAATAACTCTTAATATAGTAGTTTTTATTCTATATTCATACAAATTAAAAATATTGGTGTCACAGTCACCATTTTCGTGAACTCAAATTATATCCAGTAACGTTTTTTCCAACGCGCTTATAATACACCGCGATAGCCCTGTTGGAGGTCTAAAACTAAATCATGGTGTATTAACATTGACAAAAACTGAACTCGTACAAGACTAACAGAATCTGTATGACTCTGAGAGTAATATACCAAAAAGTCTTAACTGATAATATTTATGAAAATGTACACAAATGCATATTTTTCACGACATTATGTTATTTTCAAGTGACCACTAACTATGAAATATAACGTAAGCGACAAACGAGCGTACAGTTGCACCAACGCTTTGAACATCACAACAAGTAAAGACATCAGATGTTTTGCTTCTTTGTTGTTTAACGCCGCACTCAGCAATATTCCAGCTACATGACGGCGGTCTGTAAATAATCGAGTCACGACCAGACAATCCAGTGATTGACATCATGAGCATCGATCCACGCAATTGGGACACGATGACATGCATCAAACCAAGTCAGCGAGCCTGACCTCCCGATCCCGTTAGTCGCCTCTTACAACAAGCAAAGTTGCCTGTTACAGCAAGCATGGGTTGCTGAAGACCTATTCTACCCCGGATCTTCACGGGTATGGTTAACTCGATTGATATGTGTGGTACTATATTCACCAAGGTTATTTGATCAAATCGCAGGGGGCCATGATAAATAAATCTAATTATTTATAGTTCGAGACAAGCAGAGAGTACCGGGACTTGGTCACTTGGTCTTAAATGGTAACTAGATGCCACATGCATCACAGAAGTGTCGAAAACACAAACATTGGCTGAACATTCAATGATATGCAGCAGTTGTTAAACAAATGTATATAAACACATCAATGGACACACATATTGCCAGCACAAACTACCATCGACTATTGTTCAAATAGATTATTGACACACAGACTTTCTATATTTCTCAACAAACCTGTTCGATGTCAAAAATAATAATTTCCATGACGAGCTTGTGGTTTCACATATAAAATACAAAACTCCTCGGTCATCAATGAGCTTAGACGGAGTAAAATCGTCACTCACCACAATATCATTTCCTACCCTTTGTTCGACTGAAAGGTTGATCAAAATGTCTATCACGGCTGTCCTCACTACAACATTTTCACATATATACACCGTGTGCTACCGTCAACTCGAACATCATTAAACTGGGCAAACAGAAAATGTTTCTTTATCTGCTGAGACAGATTGTCAAGAACTCGTTAAACTTGTATGGTTTATCATACCATGAAGCAGACCTTTGTCGATACAGTCACATCTATTTGCGTATGGCTTAGAGTATACGAATATAAGTACATACACTAGTGTACGATCTACAGGGTCAGACACGGTATGTGTGAATATATCCGTACATATGTATGCCTCCCGTCATCGTCTATTCCAACCAGGTAGCTTCGGGACCTTTGTTTCTCATCCCATCTCTTATGGCAGACATCTAGAAATATCGCAATACACATTATTTGGGCTAACTACACTTCCGGTAAGTATACACTTGAAGAAACATTGGATTTGACCTCAAAATTACAACGTTATTGAAACGTTACTGTTCTGAAAACAGTTGGCGAAACATCGCAAACACAAGGTCCAAAATACAACTATGACACCCGTATCAAATACTTGACTATCGAATAACTATTTTTAAAACAAAACAAAAACAAACAAAATAAAACAAAACAACAACATGTTTTACAATGCAAGAACCCTGAACAGTTTTCATATTTGAAAAATTCTAACTGTTAGTGCACAGGTTTGGGACATAAGTGACAAGGACGCTTTAGTAAGATGCAATTCAGTTTCACAACTATCGTTAAACATTGCTCAAGTATCAGCTTATACCTTCCTTTTAACTCATGCTACTCTAAGGCTAGGGATCCTGATCACAGATAGTTCCAAGTGTGACATGTTCATCCATGGCGCTTACTGGTAGCGATTTCGTTGAAACGCCCTCTTGTTTACCGCTACTAGCTCCGAAATTCAAAACCAACCAGTAATCAACAGTGAATGTTCCTTTTACAATATATATTTTTCAATAAATGCATCCAAATGTTAATATTTCTTTCTAGAATATTTCAAAATGTCGTCCAAAATAATTTCCATATGGACATGTTGATGGCGATAGATTCAGACTGAGGGAGGCGGTTTATCAGATGGGTGAGACTCACTGATACAGGGAGTCTACATACGACATGGAGACCCTGCTGCTACAATATCTACCCAGGAACACGTTGAGTGTGTTACATCGTTAATGGACAGCTGTCCGGGAATATCAGTGTTGTAATATGTCCGTCTATATGGTGTAAAGTCCCATTCGCTCATGTGTTGACGGCACGTGTGACATGCATTGTTTGTACTGTGTCCAGCTGGTCATCGTAGCCGTCACCCACTGTTAACACACTGAAGCAAAATCCCCAAAGTAACAATCACAGACAGTAGGAAAAATACCACCAGGAACAATCTGTCCATCACGATTGCGACTTTTTTCCACTCCTCCCCAATAGCTTCAAATTTATGCTTCTCGGCGTACCGAGTGTTGATCTTCTTTAGAACCGCCAGTTGTTCTTTCATCACCTTTTGCAAGGGAGACGACTGTCGAAGATCGTGCACCTCAGTCTCGCGGGAGTCGAAACGATTTACTCCATTTTGATTTGTCTTGTTCAAATCATCCTGAAATGAATGGGTGATACATAAGTCAGATGAAGTTAGTGAGGGAATGAGTAATTTGGGTTTAACGCCGATTTGAACTGTAATCGAGTTATTTCACGGCGTGTCAGCTTAATGTAGGAGGAAATCTCGCAAGTGATGCAGGTCTCAGACGTTAAAAAACACGGGTATGGTACTGACAAACCTAGAAACATGGCGAACTGGGATTTGAACCCACCATTATAGGCCTGTACAGCGAACATATATATAGATAGACTGGGATATATAGATGACTAGGCCACTCGCGCCCATGAGACAGCGAACGTACTATGTATGAAACTGATATAAAGAAGATGATGGACTAACGTGGACTTTATTATTTTATTATATATATATTATATTATATATATATATGGAGGTCATAGTGTACAGTTATAACACCTTTATCTGGTGTTGTGATAGATAAGTGGATGTTTGATTAACGCTGGCGATATGCCCACATTGACACAGGTCGTACACATCCATCACTTCGAGGGCGGTAGGATGGCCTCGTGTTTAACACATTGGCTCGTCCAGGTTCAGTTCCCCTCACGTGTACAATGTGTGAAGTCCATAATCTGTGTCCCCGCTATTTGTGGCTTTAAGACTGATATATCAGTGGATTTCTCGGGGCACTGATGTGGTATTAGAATTCAGCAAATTTTGCATCAAACAGACGGCAAACGTGTTGCACATTTGGGAATACAAATACTAAGAAACACTACAAATGTCGGATTGAGTTCAAGAAGTTTATATATCTAGGTGATATACAACACACGGTTGTATCTTGGTTGTATCTTCACGCAACTACATAACAACTTGGAACTAAAAGCAAAGCATCCGTTCTAAACACAACCAAGAACTATCTTACTGGATTGGAGAATCATGAAACGTAACATCTAGATGCTAGATAAATGCAGACAATGTATAAAAAGGTTAAAAGAAATATGGTGATAATGTTAGAATTTTACCTGATCATCACGACATAAACTTTGAAGGTATTTTGTCTGTAATGAAATAGGACCCGGTTGTGAGCAATTCATATTAAATTACACATATCACAAATGAATAGTATGTTTTAATTATAACCGCAATGATTGACTAAGAATTCTGCCCTAAATCTCTTACCGCATGATCTTGGAGAAAAAGGTCAAGGTCACCATTGACCGCCATCTTGATTGGGTGGACTGCCATTTCTTTCTTGACACAAAGGAGCGGCGCAATCGTCTCAAGGAACAGACTCCTCACCCACCGTGGAACACCGATGCCATGTTGACCTTTGAAGTGCACGTTCAGCACGAGCACTGTGAGGACCGTGGAGAAGGTCACCAGCATCATAGACAGGCAGAAGTAGATTCCTGTGGACGTTATTTAGTGGTCTCATAGTAGTTACAAAGGTATTTTGTGTGAACATCTCGGTTTTATGGTGGACATGTGGAGGACATTTCCAAATTTGACGCATCAGTGACAAAATGATGTCCGATGTTATTCCCTATTTTGACTTGTGTCATATGTTCCCCAGCTTTTTCCCCCCAAAAATTGACTAGCCTGTGCATGTGTTCGTGACGGGTGTCTCCGGTTGGGCAGGATACTCTCACCTATTAGCGAACACCTGGTATTATCACTTTTTGGTAGTGATTCATAAACACATGCTCCTAATAGAGTCGGATTCGTACAATCGACTCTGCTTTTAGCAGATATTTCTTATGAATATGGAAAAGGTTTTGTTGCTCTTATTTAGGATACCCGCTGGTATGTTTTTGTGAGGCAGATTCCTGTGACGGTTAAGGGTATTCATAAAGTACGACATCACAAGATCATGTTTTTGTCATGCAGACATAGATTTCTATGGAGGACAATGAGATTGGTTATTCTCTGGTGTTCACACTTCGTATTTAGCATTATATTGGTAATGTTTCCAACAATGTCAAACTAGTTATTAAAACATTTACGTTTACGACAACAAAAAGTCATATATGTTCAATCTCGTATGTATATATCAACTAGAGAAAACAAAGGTATTTGTTGCTTCAGAAGATATATTTTTGTCTGTCAGTGTACAGCATTAAAGAAACCAAAAGACCCACTTTGCATAGAGGATACTGCCCATGCTACTGTCAACTTCACACGCCCCTCTATGTTTCAGCCATGCACATTAATGGTCTCATTACATGCAGAGAGTGAGTGGATTTTACACCGCTTTTGGCAATATTAGTCACGGCGGGACCACCAGAAATGGGCCTCACACAGTATACCCATGTTAGAAACGAACGTTTTAACCACTAGGCTACCTCAACACCCCCAATATGCAATGACTAATTTACAAATATCATAAATTTGTCGTGAAAATATCAAAACATTTTCGTGAGTGTTAAATGTGGGTTTTATGTACAGGATGAATCGGTAGTCTCTTGTTGTGGCTGTTGATCCTGATGCTGTACATGAACAGTAGAATGCAACAACGATTATCTTCCTAAAACACTTGCCTTCAAATATGTGTACTAATGTTTTCGACCCTGAAAAATCATATGTACATATCGGGGTGGCACTATCGAGAGGGTACGGATTTGGCGGATAAAAAAAATCTGGTTTCCGATAAGTAAATATATCGTTGTACGATCTAGAATGTAAGTATTCGTATTTAAAAACAAGTGTCTTTGAAAGTGGATCAAGTTGCATTTGTCGTTAGATCCAGTTGCTTTCACTTTGCGAAGAATATAAAGTGAGATGCAGATTTGGATCGGGGATCTATTAGCAAAACACGATGTGCAGCGACTAGTCAATATCAAAATCGTTTATAGGGGACAGCAGAGAGATGCGGTTCCGCGATCATCAGCGAAATCTGTCAAGATTTTCTTTTTTGATGTGAGTGAGTGAGTGAGTGAGTGTTCTTAACGCCACAGTCAGCATTATTAGGCGGTCTGTAAATAATCGAAACTGGGTCACGCAGAACGAGCGGCTAAAATGTGGTGAGGTGAAGGGAAAAAGGGTTTAACGTCCCGTTCAAGATTATTGCACTTATATAGCGAACTGCATGCACGTGTGTGTGTGTGTGTGTGTGTGTGTGTGTGTGTGTGTGTGTGTGTGTGTGTGTGTGTGTGTGTGTGTGTGCGTGTGCGTGTGTGTGACTGTTTCTACTAGTCCGGACTAATACAAGTTTTATACTGCTAGCTTACTGAGGTGCCGTGCCGCAGTTTAACACGAATACCGCACGCAGGAAAAGTAAACAGACTCCGAACCGAAGTACTTGTTTTATCCCTTAATACCGAGGACCGCCTCCGTGGTCTAGTGGTAGAGCGTCCGCCCGGAGAGCGGAAGGTCCAGGGTTTCGATCCCCGGCCGCGTCATACCAAGAGACGTTAAAAGATGGTACTTGTTGTTACCCTGTCTGGAGCTCGGCATTAAGGGGCTAAAACAAGGACTGGTCGGCTCGGAGTCAGTATACTGTGTCTGAGTGGGGTATTCATGTTAAACTGCGGCATGGTATCTCAGTGAGCTAGCACTATAAATCTGCATCAGTCCGGACTAGTACAAGCAGCCGCACACACACACACACACACACACACGTACATGAACGTCGCTATATACGTGCAATAATCTTGGACGCGACGTTAAACCCCATTTCACCTCACCTTAATACCGAGAGGCAGGGTAACAACAAGTATCATCGTTTTAATCTTTTGGTAAGATGCGGTTGGAGCTATACAGACGCTCTATCCTCTAGACCAGGCACATGATCGGCTAAATTATGAGCCACGATACATTATAGTTTGCTCTCACACGTGAGGTTACAGGGAGTGGAATCCTAACAGACCTTGTGCGAATGTCAAATCCAAATATGGCATAGGGTAAAACGTAGCAAGGGGTTGGGTTTTAGAACGTACCTATCAAAGGGAAGTTTTCTGACGTTGGCGGTAACGTCTCAGACACCACCAGCAGAAACACAGCCAGAGACAGCAACACGGTGATCTCCAGCGACACCTTCTCTCCGGAGTCTGGAGGCAGCAGGAAACCCAGCAGAGCCACGGTTGTGATCAATATACAGGGAAACAGCAGGTTCAACGTGTAGAACAGCGGTTTGCGTCGTAGATTGACGTAGAACGTCACGTCAGGATAAGGTTCCGGGCAGCAACCGTAGTACACTACATGTCGTTCCACGGGAACACTCACAAGGTCCCACTCGGTGTTGACTTTGAAGTTGGACATGTCCCCCGCACTGGCCCTATTCGTGGAGTTGACCTGGAGTCCGTGGTAGGCCCAAGAGCCGAACTTGAGAGCACATGTTTGAGTGTCGAAGGGGAAGTAGGTGACGTCGACTTTGCAGAGGCTTTGTATGATGGTGGGGAAGTTGTAGCTGGCAGAGCCGTCTGAGTTGATGACAGGGCGGTAGTCCTTGAGTCCAGCAAGTTCATCTCCGGCGCTGGGTGATGACGTCCAGGAGAAATAATTAGAGCAGTACAGGTCATGCAAGAGCGAGACAGAAGCAGGGGTGAGGGTCTGATGACATTATTACGATGAGACGTACGTTTTGAAGAAGTGAACAAGTGTCAGTTTGAGAGCACATGTGAAAGGGGGGGCACCCGTGAAAGCGAGGACATGCCATACGTATATTGTAGCATGTGGATATACATTTACAGCACGACATCTCTACTACGTTGCTTGTTGTTTTTTAAGATAGGATACCTTGAGTGAGTGTTACATAATGCAGCTCTCAGCAATATTTCAGCTATAACTGTGGTCTGTACATAATTCAGTATAGACCAGACAAGGCAGCGATTGACATCAATAGCGTCGATCTACACCATTGGGGTATGATGACATGCATCAACCATGTCAGAGAGCCTGACCACCCGGTCCCGTTAGTCGCCTCTTACGACAAGCATAGGTTTCTGAAGACCAATTTTAATCCCAACCCACAAGAAGATCTACAACTACTGCATAAACATATATATTTATATATGAATGAGGAAATGTAAGATGAGGACAGAAAAGTGTACATGCTGAGGAAGCAACTAATACAAAAACGCCAATGAAAGCACAAAATAAAACCATAGAGTTGGTGAAACTGGTACATTTGGATATAACGTGTTATCGAAACGTTGCATTAATAGAGGAACGTCTATTTTGACAATTTAGGCCATAACATGAGTCTTTAAACAAACGATGGCGATCATATCACTTTTACTGAATGGAATTTTAACACTGAGGGTTGAGCCACAAACACACTTGCGTATATCCAACTCACTTGTCATAAAGGGTTATATCCGGTGTCCAAACTTTGGCATAGGGGAGGATAAGTGATGAGATGCCACCATACTCAGTGGCGTTCCATGTGAACTGACAGTCGTACCAGTTCTACAAAGAAATACGTCAGTAACGTTCATTTTAATTATTGAGAATAAATTGTAATAAATAATACAATTGTTTTTATGGGACAGGATTTCAATTCACGTCATGAAAGACACGGTACATGTGAATCACATACTTGTCACTCATGTAAACGCACTGACCAAAGACCCGGTACATGTGAAATATAAAACCTGTGACTCATGACAACGCACTGACCGAAGACACGGTACATGTGAATCACGGTACCTGTCACTCATGACAACGCATTGACCGAAGACACGGTACATGTAAATCCCAATAGGTTTTACTCATGACAACGCACTGACCGAAGACACGGTACATGTAAATCCCGATAGGTGTTACTCATGACAACGCACTGCCCGGAGACACTGTACATGTCAATCACGATACCTGTGACTCATGACAACGCACTGACCGAATGCACGGTACATGTGAATCACATACTTGTCCCTCATGACAACGCACTGACTGAAGACACGGTGCATGTGAATCACGATACCCTTGACTCGTGACAATGCACTGACCGAAGACACGGTACATGTGAATCACGATAGGTGTGACTCATGACAACGCACTGACCGAAGACACGGCACATGTGAATCACGATACCTGTCACTCATGACAACGCACTGACCGAAGACACGGTACATGTGAATCGCGATACCTGTGACTCGTGACAACGCACTGACCGAAGACATGGCACATGTGAATCATGATACCTGTGACTCTTGAAAATGCACTGAACAAAAACACGGCACATGTTAATCCCGATAATTGTGACTCATGACAACGCACTGACCGAAGACACAGCACATGTGAATCGCGATACCTGTGACCCATGACAACGCACTGACCAAAGACACGGTGCATGTGAATCACGATACCTGTGATTCATGACAACGCACCGGCTGAAGACACGGTACATGTGAATCACGATACCCGTGACTCATGACAACGCATTGACCAAAGACACGGAACATGTGAATCACATGCTTGTCACAGGAAGTATGTAGTTCATTGAACCTGACTACACAAAATAATCCGGTATGTAAATTGGATATATGTTATTTGAAAATGCTGGTGGCCTGATATTCGAAAAACGGTGCGTCAAAACGCAGCCATTGTCGATTTGAAATGTCTTAAACAGCATTGTTTTCACTTCAATACCTTACAGCCTTGGAATTTGAGAAACTGGAGACGAGTGTGGTTTAGCGATGATTCACGATTTCTTCTTCACCGGCGAGATTGAAGACAACGTGTTTATCGTCGTCGAAATGAGCGTTTTGCCCCACATTGTGAACGTGAATGCGACATTTTCGGTGACGGTGGTGTCATGGTGTGGGGGGCCATATCCTACACCACGAGATCTGACTCGTTGTGGTTCAGGGCAATTTGACAGCAAATCGCTACATGAATCAAAGCTCGTGTCACGGTAGACTACCGTCATAATGCCAACATCAACGCTTGCCCTGGCCGTCGAGATCTCCAGATCTCAACTCAATCGAACACCTCTGGAATGAACTCGATTGGCGTGTACGTCAACGTCAGAACACGCCGCAGACACTCCCACAACTGACCAACGCGTTACAAGCAGAATGGCGCAGAATTCAGCAGGACAAAATTCGTACACTTATCAAGTCAGTGCCGAGGAGATGCAGAGCCGTGATTGCTGCCCAGAGTTCAGAGCAAGCTTGTGGCCTTATATGACATGACAATGAACAGTTTTCAATGCCTTTGTACAACGACAACATGTGACTATCGAGCTCCAAAATTTGATATTTGTATCTATGACATAAAATCAAATATATCGACTTTATTAGGTACAATAAATTTACTAAAAATCTACCTGTGCGTTCCTTTTTTTGAAGAGTGTATATGTCTAATCTCCCAAGAGATATAATAACTCATTTGTTTCAAACGAAAACGACGTACATGGACGTCCCTTGTCGATTCAGACTGATTGATACGTACGAGGGGTTTTCCTCGGTGGGATAAAATAGATTAACAGTAATCATCCTGAATAAACACACTTGCCGTTAATTTTCAGAGCAGGAAGCAAAGGCGTGCGGACCAGTAACTTGTGATGAATTAATTTGATTATTGAATGATTTATGTATTAATCATGATGATAGTTTCGTGTGTGTTAAATTATTTCTCAGCCCTTATTTATTTGCAGTTTATACACTGCAAATTCATTAATATGCAGATAACGCATATTCAGTCTTCGAAAAAGTTCATGTTGATCATCAGCTGACATTAGTTGGAACATACGCTTTGATACAGTACAGAATAATATACAAGGGATGAATAACAGCCGCTTGTCATTACACACGGTCACTGGTGTTGCTGAAATCCATACGGTTTGGAATCATATTTGACGCACCAGTGACCAAACTGATGTCCGATGCAATTCCCTATTTCAGTGTGGCAGGATATCCTCAACATTTCACGAACTACCCGTTTCATCACTATTTGAGAGTGATTCATAAACACATGATCAAGACATAGTCGGAATCGTACAATGGACTCTGCTTTTAGTAATGATTTCTTATGATTATGGAAATGGTTTTAGTCGCTTTAATTTTGTTAACATTAAAATATATCAATAAACCTTCAATTTCAACACGTGGTGTACGAAGAAATTCAAACACAGATTCATTCATGTACCCCACGGTTTGTCAATACGGTATGACACAGGCTAGACAGAGGATTACATCGAAACCTCTACCGATAAAGAAATGTCAATATTCATCCCACATGTTTTATTCAAAAACCATTGTTACCAAACCCATTTAACAAACACTCGTCATCCCAATTGAGATAAAGCGCAGTTTATGTGTGTTCAGTATCCACGACTCAACCATCCCGTTGTCAATCACTGTTCTTTCGTCCGCAACTATGGCACCTCTAGCACCTTTGGAATTCAATTATTATATAGAGTACCAGAGCAATCGTTCGTCATTTCACACTAAACAATCGACCAGAATGTTCAGAAAGCAATGTCATCCCGGGCAGTTAGAACAATGGTAACAGAAAGAATTGTGCGAGGGTATTGGGTTTCTATTTGGAAACCTTAGTATAAACGTGAATGATTCAATAACGGATGCAGCCGCACTTACCAATCGAAGCCAGGCGTTGATTGTCAATATTTGCTTTGGTTCATCCTGGAAAGAAGGAGAAATATTTGGCATACAGAGGTTAATGCATTAGCGTCAAGTTTTCCTCTCAAAGGACTCAGGTAAAGTACAGCAAATGTTCATATAAATGGGAAACCTGACATTACGTCCCCCAGTATTTGGCGTTGTTCGGAGTCATGGTTCTTTGGAGTTTATGGTTCAAATGTCGCCATTGTCATTTTCAATTGTTATGAAATAATTTTGCATTGGACATACCACTTAGAGACCATTGAAACATTCTGATACATCATTATCTCACCTTATGCACGTGTGCCTGTTGTGGACAGAGGTTTGAAGCCCATTTGTATGTTATTCGAAACGCACCTGCTGTATGAGTTCAAAATAATCACACGTTTCTGACATGTCACCCTATTTGCACATCGATCAAGATCAGATTGTGAATTTTGAAGTAAACTAGATTCCACCCGGGCCTTATTGAATAACGTGTGTTCCCCTATATTTGCCCACCTGTATATGTACATGTAATATAAACTGTCAATGCAAGAGAATAATCAGTCTTGATTGGATAACAGAAAATCAGTGATGACACCAGTCAACATGTTCGGCCCTACACAATAAGAATAATAACAACTACAGGTAAACTATATACCGTTGGAGAAATCCTACTTTTTGAAAGAATAAATTTTCTTAACACTCACAAGTTCAATGACCTGTCTGATCGCGATGCCGATTTTGACCTCAATAGGCGCATCTGTCCCGCAGATTGGCCGCACATCGCTGTGGTAATTGGTGAACACCTTGTCCAGCAACGCTGTCTGGTTACTCAGGACTCCTGTCACTGAAGGGAAAGGTATGCATTCTGAATTAGGGGGAAACTTTTGTGTCTAAAATGATATTTATATTCATCTCTCATGAGTTATTGTTAAAAGCATCAATAAGAAAAAACAACATACAAATCAACAGGAAAGATTCCAACCGGAATAGTTATCATAGAAATCGGCACCTCACTTTGACAAAAAATAAATGCAGAGAAAAACGAAATTGTTTGTTGTGGCTTCGAATCTAATACAGAAATGTCGTAAAGTATAAATATAATACTGAATCATGTCTAGCAAGTGATTGATAAAATATGATTAAATATATTAAAATTATGTTATAAAAATACTCTGAGTATATAACAGTCAGACAATGGTGAGAAACAGAACTCGACACAACATTTATAGAACATCAGTTAACCTTATTATCGCTGCATAATGAAATATGGTTTCAATGTACCAAAGACTACAGATAGTAACACTATGTTAATCGAAAACAATGAGGCTATAGAACGTGGCTATAGCATTACGTCAACAGCGAGATGTGATCACCGGGCACAGCGACACCTGGTATACTGTTCTAAGCGACTAATTATGACCAACATTATTTATCTGTTAACTGTGGAACTCGATATTCGTGCCTTTGTAAATAATGTACCGTTGATATAATCCTTTATAGCCGTTTCCCCTTTCAGCTGTAAAAAGATCAATGTGATACACTACCATGGTGCCAGGCAATATAGGGTATCACAAAAAAACGGTATTTTGGTAATTGAATAAGCGCCTCGTAGAATAATATAGAACTTTGTTTGTTGTTTAGCGCCGCATTATTCCACCTGTATGACGGCGGTCTGAAAATATTCGAGTCTGGATCAGACAATCCAGTGATTAACATCGATCGAGCATCGATCTACGCTATTGGGGAGGTGAAATAGGGTTTAACGTCGCGTCCAAGATTATTGCACTTATATAACGACGCGCATGCACGTGTGTGTGTCTTCTTGTACTAGCCCGGACTGATGCCGATTTATAGTGCTAGCCAACTGAGATACCATGCAGGAGTTTAACATGAATACCCCACTGAGACACAGTATACTGACTCCGAGCCGACCAGTCCTTGTTTTAGCTCCTTAATGCCGAGCGCCAAACAGGGTAACAACAAGTACCATCTTTTAACGTCATTTGGTATGACGCGGCCGGGGATCGAACCCCGGATCTTCCGCTCTCCGGCGGAAGCTCTACCACTAGACCACGGAGGCGGTCTCTACGCAATTGGGATACGATGACATGTATGAGCCAAATCAGCGAATCTGAGCACCCTATCCGTTTGTTGCGACAAGCATGGGTTACTGAAGACCTATTCCAACCCGGATCCTCATAGATCAACACTGCAGCAAAATCATATGTTTCTCTGGGAGCGAGAAGACAGTGGCTTGTGATCTTTCTCCGTGTGATGTAGTTATTTCGTGACGGCGGAACTGATGAAGTGACGGACCGGTTATTTATCTCTGTGAGGAAACAGTGATCCCTTTAGTTAATACACCAGTCGGTGTTGTATTCTTCATTCATCGTGATTATACCAGCATTTAGAACGGAAATTAATACAAAAAGTGAAAGTAGAAGATCAAATGAGGTTCTTCTGTAGGATCAAATTTGACAACGAGCTTTTTAAACTCTAATAGAAAAGTGCATAATTAAGGCGTTGTTCCACTAAGAAACCGATTCCTGTCGAAGAGGCGTGATTTACTACCGAAATTGTTTTTGTAGAATAACAAGTGGATTACTCTGTGCTGATCAATTACGACCCGGGTTCGATTCCCGACATAGGTGCAATGTGTGAAGCCCATTTCTGATGTTTCCCGCTGTGATATTGCTGGAATATTGCTAAAAACGGCGTAAAACCATACAAACTCACTCACTCTGATCAATTACATTGATCTGAAACGAAACATTTTCGAGCCTTACAGCAAGTTATTTAACTGTACGTTTGACGAAAGTATGGAGTTCAAACAAAACTGAAAGAGCCAATATTTGCTTCCACATGCGTATGCCTCATAGATGAATGCTTTCTAAACGTTCTCTTGCACTGTTTCTCAATGTAAATACAGTGTCATGCTCTGGGATGATATGAAAGAAAACAGGATTAATCCTACTAGTATGTCGAATGGCACTATCAACATTGACTGATATAAATACTTTAGAAATGGACAATGAAACAATGCAGTGAACTAACATGATAACGTCATCTTACATAGCAGACACTGTAAAACTAAAGTAAGAGTGAGTGAGTGAGTTGGGTTTAACGCCGCTTTTAACAGTATTCCAGTTATATCACGGCGTGTCAACTTAATGTGGGAGAAAAGCCCGAAGTGATGCAGGTCTCAGACGTTTACCACTTCGGTGAAACCCACGAGGACGGGTATGGTGCTGACAAACCTAGAAACATAATTGGGGCGAACCGGGATTCGAACCCACAATCATAGGTTACTGGCGTGCCCAAGGGACGCAACTCTGCACAGCGAATCGCGCGCCTTAGACGACTGGGCCACCCGTGCCCCGCACTAAGGTAAGATCATTTTCACATATCTTCCCTTTATATGCACCGTCAATTTGATCACGATATGTAGATTTCTTCGATTACGGTCACATTGAATTAATTCGAATTGACACCTGAATATGCCGAGCAAACTAGGTAAAGAATAGCATGCATTGTTTTATAGTACATAATATGATTCCGTCATGACTACGTTTTATTAATTATTCTAACCTTGATAATTAGAAATCTTTGTTAAAATTTCATTCCGACTATATCAAATCACTAACGCCTGAACAACTGTTTTAAGCCCATTTATGGAGTAACGAGTCTTGATATTGCTTGCTTATTGCTGAAAGCGGCGTAAAACGATATTCACTCATTCAATATGTGGACAAAGTATGTTACAATTCTTGCTATGACTCACACCTTTGGGACCACTGGCGTTTCTGAAAATTGCCTGACAAAAGTGCTGAAACCCACTGAAGGTTTAAAGGAATACAACACTGTTCTGTCTCATGATAGATAAGTGATACGACATTGTACGTTATCAACCTATCTTTATCTGTTTAACCTTATTTAGTTTCTATCCATGCCACAAACAAACAAATATATTAAAATAAATTTATTTCGAAGTAACTGAACATTTTGTTGTGATTATCTTTTTATTGTCTTGTCGAGGTTTGGTACATGCCAAATAGCAGATCAGATGTCATCGTGGCAGTTAATTGCATTTCGCGGCGACGTTGCATTACAGTCAAGCATTCCATGCTGACATAAACCAAGTTCTCTGTCCAGATGAAAGGAGTGACCAAGAGTCCACAGCACATTATCACGCCACCAGAGGATATATCAGCGGTAGCATGACATTTTAACGTTCTCCTTAAAAGGGCACTGATGAAAGAATTCATGGCGTTGTTTTAGATATTTAACATGGCGATTTGAAGAGTTTGGGTGAAAAAACATCACGTGAAATATGGATAATGTTGTAAAGCAATTTATTAAAAAATCCGTTTCACAATTATGCAGCATCCTCTCTATCTTCAGGGCACGCATTTCGGTAAACAAACATCAATTAAACGTAGAGGTAAAGGAAACGGTTGAGGGACTTGCCACCGCCAGTTTTAATGGACATGAAGACATCCTTACCTGAAAATATATTTTTGAGGACTTTCTTATGCGTGCGGACAGTGTTGATGAATTTCTCGCAAACTCTGTCATAATCAATAAGTCTGGCCGCCATGTTGTTGACATCGCCGACCTAACCCTACATTGAGGCTGGTTTGAAACTCGCATTCTGATTGGTTCGCTAGAATGAGTAGCGTAGCCAATGAAAATGGCCAAAAGAAATCAAGGGCGGGTAATTGAGATCGAGAGAACGACCGGACTCGATCCAGGGGTTAGTGTAAGTTTACCGAATTGCAAGACCTTGATATACAGAGGATGACTTAGCAGCAATAACGAGGAATGCATACACAAGAGATTCCGGGTTAGAATAAGCCCTCAGCACAGATTTGACCATATGGATTGGTGGTCAGGCTCGTTGACTTGCGTGTCATCGTACCCCGACATCGTGGATCGTTGCTCATAATATCGACCATTGCATTGTCTGGTTAAGAATCGGCTATTTACAGGCCTCCGTCCTCTAGCTGGAATATCGCTGAGTGCGGTAATTGACAGGTAAATAAACTAAACAAATATTATTTTGCTCAAACCTCTCTTCTTCAATGATTACATGCTGCAATGTTCTAAAGTTTGTCAGTTACATTAACAACATTACAAAGCCAATATATACCTAACACTCCAACTCGTACTCAACTTCTCGTCTCAAAATGGTGAGCGTGACACTGCCCAAGGCGGAAGTGAGGAATGACACGTGACTTTGATCCGAAAACTGAAATAGGATACCCCTTCTCTTCACTACTGCCGACAAGGCTACAATGCTGTCTTTTCTACACGGCAGGATGGTATATTCGCTGTTTACTAACCTTCTGACCGCGGTTTCATATTAAGCAGAGCTCAGTAGACTCTTTTCTCAGTGTGGTGACTATTTGTCTGAATATATGACTATACACGGTGTCACATATGTGGACATACAATCACTTCTTAATGATTTTATGGACATAAGAGGTGAGGTGAGGTGAAATGGGGTTTAACGTCGCGTCCAAGATTATTGCACTTATATAGCGACGTGCATGCACGTGTATGTGTGTGTGTGGCTGCTTGTACTAGTCCGGACTGATGCCGATTTATAGTGCTAGCTCACTGAGATACCATGCCGCAGTTTAACATGAATACCCCACTCAGACACGTGCACAGTATACTGACTCCGAGCCGACCAGTCCTTGTTTTAGCCCCTTAATGCCGAGCGCCAGACAGGGTAACAACAAGTACAATCTTTTAACGTCTTTTTGCATGACGCGGCAGGGATCGAACCCTGGACCTTCCGCTCTCCGGGCGGACGCTCTACCACAAGACCACGGAGGCGGT